GAGGGGGCGGCTCCCTCCGGTCCCCGAACGCCCCCTGCCATGGGCTGCCACCCCCTGGGCCCGGGGGAACCCTCCCTGCCTGCCAAGGGGGCACAACACGTCCGCCTCCTGCCCAGAAGCACCTGCTCCTGCATCCCTGCCGGGCCCCGCTTCGCTCCCCGGGCTGGAGGGGGGTTTCTCAGGAAGGTTAAGGAGCGGGTGGGAGTTCGCTAGGGTGGGCATGGCAGAGAAAGAGGCAGGTATGTGACCTGCTACCTGCCCTGTTAACTGGCCACACAGCAGACTGAAAATCAGATCAGGCAGGGACGGGCAGAAGCAAAAGCCAGACCCAGGCAGACAGCACAGGGAGCATCCATGGCAGCTCCTCCTTACGCTGCGATGCAATGCAGTGGTAGCCTTCGGTTCAGAACTACAAATAGCACACAGAACCGCTGTGCTGACCACCACCGCTGGGAACAATAAATACTTAACCATGTCCTGCAGGTGGTGTTCAGTCTGAGGATTTGGGAAATTTCCTCAAGACTCTACAGCACAGATAATTACCTAGCAATAAAAGGCAAAGTAGTTCAACTTCCAGTCTAACAGAGGAGCCACTTGAACCTGGGACTCCTGTACCTCAGGGAGTTCTTGAACCAACAGATCATTGGGGAAAAGCTAGCAAGGCAAAATTTATCCCTATTTATTTCCTTATTGAACATTATCCTTATCTGTTTCAGCACACGCTACAAGTGTCGCAATACAGACAATGACAACAGGGGAACAATGAACAGGGCCTGGTGCAATTTCATCACCAAACTGCTTGGCACTGTTGGGGCACCCACACCAACATGCTGCAGGAACTTTTCTGAGTGAGGACTGGATGCTCTGGTCTTCAGTGTTACACTACCGATTTGTTTGTTCAATATTGCAGTACAAGTGACAAATATTTTTGACAGCATTAATTCCAGAATTAGCTGCACTTTTGGATTCCTGAATTTAATAGGAAGAGGCAGCCTGGGTGCTGGATCTCTGGATTAGAGGAAGAGTGTGCCAACATGCCTTAATGCTACAACATTAATGCTTAGCACTCAACTGAGTGTTAGAACACCTGCCTCAAAGGTGGGAGACAGGCATTCAAGGCCAAACTACACCTCCAATGATGAGTAAAACCATGATTTATCTATCACAGGAAGACTTCTTAAAACATAAAGCTGTTCATTCATACATGAATGTTTTCATGAAAACATTCATACCTGTTTCAGCCCAGTTTCCAGTTATGTTGTCCTGGATATCTATACTTATTTTTTGCCAATGGTTAAGAACACTGAAAAGCAAAACTTGTACAATGGCCATCGACTATTTTTTTCTCCAAATTCAGGTTTTACTAATACCATACTTGGCACACTCCTTAAAGTGTTCCTTAGCAGCAGTTTTAATGTATTTTAGAGATGACAGTCTTGGCTTAGAACAAAAATAATTTTATGTTGATCTGAGATAACTGCAATATTAAGAGGAAATAAAAAAAAAAAAAAAAAAAAAAAAAAAAGTCTTGTTTAGCCAGGAAGATATTTCAAACAAGAAACATGGGTAAATTGTTTTTACTTACTCCTAGGCAGCTCCGGGCTTCACCCACCACTACTGACCCACCACATGTTAACAGCTACCTAAGACTTCATACCTTGCTGCTCTGGCACAAACCATTTCACAGGTCTTCACAGTCAGACACTTCCCTCCAGTACCATTTCACATACTAGACTGACCAGTATCTCTTGGCAGATAGTACAGCAGCATTTGCAGGCTGCCTCTTCCATGTTCAAGTGACTTAGACATTAGCCAAGCTCTTGCATCCATTCAAAATGCTAAAAAAGGCAATTAAAACAAGGAGGGGAAAAAAAGGTGGGGGAGGGAACCAGAAAGATTAGGACTGAACTTAGACTTGCACCTTCATACCACAACAAGAGCAGTGAGACATTTCTAACAAACCACCAGAAATACCAAGTTTTTTGGTGAAATCAGAAACAATAATATTGTCAAGGACAAACCCTCAGCAAGGGGAGTCGGACATTTTATAAATCCCAAGACTAGGTTTGTTGGGGTGCATGTTTATCTTGCTCATATGGCCTAAGCAGAAATAGAAGAAAAGTCTATAGAAGTACTCCTGTGCAAAGCTTGCTGAAAGCCTCCTTCCAATTAACAGTCACAGTTTTTTAGATCAGTCTTTAAGCATAGACAAAAATGGAGACTACAGCAGTTTATTGCTTTGTCTCTTCCAAAACTGCATTTGCAAGTAAGCTTTCTAGCCTAAATCGTGCTTTCATTTACACCTGTCTCTTCAGTATACATGTCTGTAAATAAGAACACTATGACTGAAGTGTTTCTCTGGTCTCAGCATAGATCTATACTCAGCAACTTACGATATACTATCAATCAAATACAGCAGGCCATCAAGGTGGCATCCTGAGATTTCTGCCACTGATGTTTATGTACTTAAAAAGCAAAATAAAAAAGTCTGCCAGTACTTACAAGCTGTGTGTAGGTAGCTGGAAGCTGCTGGGTGTAGTGCTTGTGTTACTTTTACCCCCCCATCTTTCACCTAATCCACATCCCTTGCTTCTCACACCTGAATTAATAATTTCTCTGAGGAAAAAAACATACCACCCACCATTCCCCCTCAAAAAATCAGTCTCTGGTTGCAAGGAATAAATTTGGGGTGTTAGTCAAGGGGCAGTTATCTTGTCTTTTGATGTAAATAGAAGAGTGCAAGCAAGATAACAAGTGTAGCCTACTGAATAAACAACCTGTTACCTCATTTCAGCAGACAAATATAGATAACAATTTAAAGACCCATTTGCTTTAGACAAAAAGCCATGAAGAACTGTGAATCACATCCTTTGTATTTCACATCCAATCATAATGTAACCAGCCACTTTTGGATGCAGAACACAACCATTTTTTTTTAAAAAAAGTACAGGAGAATGTGTATTCTAAGAACATAAATGTCATACTTGGGAGGCTACAAGAGTTTACCATCATCATTTGTAGCGTCACCAACATCTTTCTTCTCAAATGTTGCAAGTGTTTGGGGTACTTACCCTGCCTTTACAGAATGTTTGCTAAAAATACGGTCTTTGCTTTCCAAACACAAATAATTCTTTTGGTAGCAGACCAGAACATTAGAGTCCTTAATCCAGAAACATCAGTCCTTTAAAATAAAGTTTTCACTGTAAATCTGGATGACAGACTCCTCTGTATGCTGATCTGGTTGAAAGATCTAGTCACTGCCGTAATAATAAAACATTCTGAAGAGTATTTCCACATCCCTTGTGCTTTTTCATAAATTAGACAAATTTTATCTCCTGTTAAGAAATGAAAAATGCAATGCTTCTGTGTTGGCACTCCATAGAGTTACAAGGACACACTCAGCAATAGCTTAAGAATTCACACAGTAAACCAAGAGAAACCCCAACACCCCCAAGATAGTTAGATAAAACATCTATCAAATATTGCAGAAATTCTGTGTGTGGGAGACTTGCAAAATAGTTCCATGTATTTTAGAGATCCAGTTAACTTGTGCAACCTCACAGACAGCTCCTCTTAGCGACAATAACATACATAGCACTCCTGAAAAGAACCCAGCAGTCAAGGCACTGGAATGTTTCCAGAAAAAGAAAGACAATTTGTTCTTGCAAAACATCAGGTTTGGTGTCACTACACTCTTGACGTATATCTGATGGTTCAGAAATGTAATGCTTACTGGCGTGATCTGGGTAATACTTCTCTACTGTCACAAAATGAAGACCCTGTTCCCTATGATCTACCTCCCTCCCACAGGACTATTCCCTGGAAACAGCTGGAAGGGTTTATCCCACAGACACCTGCATCTCACTGAAATACCCATTTCTTGCCTGCCTGCATGTCACAGATGTGAATTAAATGAAAACTGCAGGAGCAATTTTTTTTCTCTTTGATTATTAATGAATGACAGAAACAAGATGTTCACAAACATCTCTCCCCCTGAACTGGAGAAAGCATTAGACGAAGGAGTAAACTGGAGCAAATAAATTATTTACACCCATTTTACATTTGCAAACTACTGATACGAAGCATAAAAGCTATACTTACAGTTTGCCCACCTAGTTCAGTTTAAGAGCTCAAGGTGCAAAGAAAACAAAAGAACAGCATGCTTACTGCCTGCATTTATTAACTCAAAATAAACAAAGATAACATTTACTGTGCATTTAATGATACCACATGAGATTAGAACTATTCAGAATGCGTGGAATTATTTTGATGAGTTACCAGCTGGCTCTGCTCAAGGGAGATTTCCCCAGGAGCATCCAAAGCTACTGCTTGTTGGTCTTCGGCAAGCGCTTTGTGGTGGATTTTGACTCACCAGCAGGTGTTCCCCTTTAAGAACTGCTGGCTTTCCCAGTATTTGAAACAACTGCTATCTTCTTCTACAAAGTTGGGCCTTTTTCCTCCTAAGCCATCCCACTATTTCCTGTTTATAACGTATGGTGAGGGTTGCTCCAAGGATACAGAGCAAAAGATGACTAAGTACTTTTACTGCTATTTTTGCTCTCTGAAAAATTTCCCTGGCTGGAGGGGGTCCACTGTCAACGCTCCCTCCGAATCCTTTCCACTCACAATACGGAGGAGCCCAGCCATACCTGCAGTGACAGTTCTTACGATTGTTACACACTCCTCTGTTGTGACACACCGTCGTGTTACAGTCGTACTTCAGCAGTGATACGCTGGTACATGTGCTGTTGATACAAAGCTTATCACTACCACATGGCGTGCCATCTTCCACGGCCCCCATGTCAGCTATTGGCATCCCTACGTGATAGTCGAGACCCCAACATATTTTACCTCCAACAGGGGTTTGAATTAGCGTTACGTGGTTCTGCAAGAGAGGCAATTTGTCTATGTTTTCACACTGGATCCTACCACATAAGATATTCTCAATACTGCATTTTATAAAACGGATATTGTTACGAGTACCACAATTCCCAAACCGATCACCTTGAGTATTCACTGCTTTGAAGCAATCTAAAGGAGCGGCCCTCGCTTTTTTGCCAAAGAGACGCTGGCACTGTTTACTATGGGACGAACATTTTCCTCGATAGCAATAAGCACCATCTTTGCAAGGGGTTCCATCTTGTATGTACACATCCGCCGGGCACCAAGGGGAAGTCCCATTGCAATACTCTGGCAGGTCACAGTCACCAGTACTCACTCTGCAGAGCGTTCCAGCTGGAAGGACCTTACAGCTCTTGCAGCATTTTCCAGAAGCACAGACTGAAGCTGCAGTAAACGTACAGTTCGGGTGACAACAAGGATCCTTTCTGCAGTTTGATTCTGAACCACAGTCACATTGCTCTCCTCCTTCTATTATCTCATTCCCACAGTATTCACGCTTCATGGTGTAGAAAGTGCCAGGTTCTGGTGGTTGGCGAATGCAGCTGGCGCCACGTCCCTGCAGGTCAAAATAGTCTTGGTAACTGCAGTCACTGAACGCATCGGTGTCAACACTGCTTTCATACATAATGCATTTCTTTCGCCTGCATTTACAGCCCGGTTCATCGTGGCGCATCCCAAGAGTATGGCCCAACTCATGGGCAAATGTGATAACAAATGAGGACAATTTCCTATTGGTGAAAGAAGCGACTGCTGATGACCACTGGTTATTACACACGGACCCTACAAATGCCAATCCCAGGGTTCTTCCAAAGCTCTGAAAGGCAAATAAGTGAGCAACATCATGGCGCAACCGTGGCGACAGGTCTGACTTCCGCCACATGTTAAAGTCATCAAGTGCCTTGTTGATAGAGTTCGTAATGTTTATAAGGTTGTTTTTGGTCCAGATCTCCAAACCCACAAGAAAAAGCCGAACAGAAAGCGGTTCATACAGAGAGTCCGCAATGTTGATGATTTCTATGACCTGCCTCAAGACTTCAGATTCGTTCCTGCCCGACTTCACAAACCGCACGTTGTCCACGACCACTACGATCTTCACATACCTGACATGTGTCCACCAGTCCTTCAGCATCTCCTCCTCCACCACCTGGGGGGCCTTGAACCAGGGAAACAAAGCCTTTTGGTGCTGCAGCTCCTCCGGGGTCAGCCCACAGGAGGGGCCCACTGTGTTGTTGGCCTCCTCTATGCGGTAAAGGATGTGCCGGAAGGCCGGATCGTCAGGGATGGGCTCGATCTCGTAGGTGCCATCCTCCACCCAGAGCACACCATGGATGCCCCTGCCGCAGGTGCCGAGGGCCACCAGGGAGCCAGGGCTCCCCTGCACCTCGCCTTGGTAGAAGCAGTTGTCCTGCACGAAGGGGTGCTCCTCCCAGCGGGCGCCGTCCTTGCCATAGGTGACCAAGGTGAAGGGGTGGGAGACCAGGCCCCGCCGGGGCCACAGGCGCAGCACCCGCGGCCGACCCTCCACCTCCAGCCAGTAGGAGACGGATGGGGAGCTGGCGTCGGCCCGGGGGCTCAACTGCCGTGGCACCGTCACCCAGGTGGCAGTGACACGCAGGTCCCCAGATAGGTCCCCCCAGGTGGTGGGACACCCCGCCAGGCCCAGCAGCACCAGCAGCCCCAGCAGTGCCCCCATCGCCACCCCACACCCTGCTTTGTGAGGGGATGGAGCCCGGAAGGACCCTGCCCAGAGGGAACCACCCGCAGGCCTCCAACTGCCCCTCGGCGGGGAGGGCCACAGCTGTCCGAGGCTTCCAACCGCCGTGCAGTGGGGGAGGAGCGGCAACATGGCGTCCCCCGTCACCTTCCCCCTATGGAAATGGCGCCCTGCTGCCTGGGGGCACATCTCGGAAGGCTGCGAGGGCGCCTTGGGATGTCCATCCCCTGCTCTTTGGGCAGGCACAGAGGCTTTTGTGCTGAGGAACAAATAAATTAGCCTATCACAAGCACGTTCCCAGTTTTTTTATAATCTTCATTTTCAAATTAATGGGCATTTCTCCTTCTGAGTAGACATAGCAAGGAGGAGCCTCAGCTCAGCTTCACACTCCTCGTCATGAATGTTCGTTTTGAGCAAAGGCATCATTTGGTTAGACCACAAAGGGGAAAATAATCTGTTTTAATAGCTCAAAGGCTGGGTTTTGCTTTGTTCACTTTTTTTATTAAAGGATAATTTGTGAGTGGAGATCAAGAACAGACTATTTCAGCTCAAAAGAATATTTGGAAAAGCTTAGGGGCTGAAATGAAAAAGCACAGAAATACTCATCTCCTAGCTGATTACTAGGACACAGCACTCCATGGTGCCCTTTCGTAGCGTGTGCCTTACTATACTACAGCTATACACGCACACTGCCCAAGAAAAAACAATGTAGAACCAGGGAGGAATTCACTTCCACTACGTTCAATAAATATAGAGGTAAACTAATAGCACCACGTATAAAAGCATAAAGCCTATCTGCGCCACAGCTGCTACATGCCTACAGCAGCGTGCCTTAATTACACATATCACTGATCCAACAGCCACTTTCCCGCATCATGGTCTTTCTAAATTTTGTGCTTGTAGAGCACTGGGAAAGAGCAAGTGAGCTTACAGGTACATATACCATGTGACTGGCATCCCTGTTTTAGGGAACAGCTCCATCAAGACACAGCTATAAGACAGTGATCTGGATTGTGCAGGAAAGGATGTCCTGTACAGCACAGCTATGCACAGTGGGGTTTTGGCACTTAGTGCTGGGATTTGACACAGCCACAGCTGTTATCTTTTGGGAACTCTTCACAACTTTCTTTTCAGCACTGAAAGCATGCCTGGGACGAAGTCCAACCTGCTACGGCCCATACCTTTCTCAGCTGCAGGAAGCGCACCCTCCCACTACCCCATCTCCATCTCCGGGATCCTGCCTTTCGGCACCAACTTCTCGGTGTTGACCATCACCCTGGCTGAGCAGCAACACTGAACATTTCAAACTGCCGGAGACAGGCACTGCCCCTCAGGAGGCTGAGCAGTGAGAGGAGCAGCTGGCAGAGTGCTCAGAGCCCCTCTTTGCTGCTCCAGGGTCCCGAGTGGGCTGCTACCTTGAGCTGGGCACATGGTGGGCCTAACCAACAGCTGTGGAGGTTACCAACAGCTGTTCAAAGGGGCCTCAGATGCTGTGAATCGGCACCTTGCTCATTCATTGCAAGCATGGCCAGCATTAGTAGCGTACAGTTTATAACACAGTACCTCAGATTAAAGGAATGAAAACAGAAGGACGCCTGCTTCTGTAAGAATTTTCTAGACATCCATAATTGTATATTGTTTGAAATTTATTACTGCTTTACCTAAAACTGAACAGACTCGTGACCTGTGTTAGCCTTATTTTCATATTAGTTTTAATTTTAAAATTATAGAAGCTATTTTCTGTGAAATCTTTAATATGCAGTTAGTTATTAAATAATTGTCCACTACTTCTAAAGTATCGGTTTTGCATTCCAGGGCAATTGAACTATGTCAGATTACATCTTTTGAAATAAATACAGCTCAGACCACAATAACTCTAATAGAAAAGAAAAATCCTGTTACATAATCTGTGTGTGCAGTGTCTGTAGCATTTAAACACATACTTCTGCTGTGTGACCACTCCTTAAGTTATAGAAAATGCCCTACTAAATCACTCTGCCAACCTGCTAGAGACATGTCTTACCCCCCACCCCCGAAGCTGTCTACTACTTTCTTTCTCTTTTAATATAAACATAACTGCATAGTTAGGGCTAGAAAGTACTCTGGTTCCACTGTTAAACTCATGGCAGGTTATTCTTGAGGGAAAGTGTCAACATAAGTTTGCAACACTGTGCTGAGCACCCAAGCAAGCCCTTCAGCATCGAGGCTACATAAAAAAGGATGACGCTGTTATACTCAGGTTACCAGAGCCTTGCACTTCTGCACTCAGATCAAGTAAAGATCAAAGGGGAGGGAGGGAAAGATTCCCATTATATGACAATGAACAGGTTTGAAGAAAAAATTACTGACCTTACAGTAGAGCCAGGAAAAAACATCGCAGCAATCCGCAGCTACTTCAACTGCAGAAACATTTGTCTGGCAGGTGTAACTGGCTTTCTCATGATTCATCAGTGTTTTTCAAATTTTTCAATCTGGTAGCCCCCTAAAATTTCCAGTGAAGGTACAAGCTCCTATGGAATTGAATCCTACCAGCAAGAGGCTTACTGTTCTCACTTACCTTCTGTTGAGTCCTTAGGAACAGGTCACAAAACCCCAACAGCCTTGTGGACCACAGGTTGAAATCCACTGTCCTGGCAGAAAGAAATGAAGCTTTCTGATTGTTGAGAGATCAATAATACATCATAATTCATCCCACTGGGAAAATTTCTCCCCACTACCCATCCATCTATGATCTACATCAGGCTACAGAAAGTCACTTGTCACATAAGTGACCATTTGTTTGTTCTGTGCACAATTACAGGACCAAAGCAACACTATCAAAAATTCACCTTCTCCTCCAAGAAAAAACTGTCTTGAACCTTGAATGCCTAGTTATCATTTGCTTTGCCGTTGAAAAAATTTGAAAGTGTATCACATCAGCTTTTGTTCAGAAGCCATCTGTTGATTCAGTGAAGCCACAATCTATTTCCGTAACATCTTCACCATTTTTCACCATCTAACTCCAATTCAGCTTCATTAACTTGTCCCTCTATTCTTATACTACAAGACAGAACAAGAGCTCTCTACTTTCCTACTTGCTTCACAGTACTCAGTTTCATAAAAGGCTCAGTATTTGTCTTCTGTTTTCTCAGGAACTAAAGTCTTGGTCCTCCCAGTGGCTTCATAGGAGAAATTTTCTCCTATTCACTTTATTGGCCTTCTTCAAACCCCTCTACTTCAGGAGAATTCTTTTTCAGGCACTGAGGTGTACAACACTTTATTTCAGGTGAAGTCCAGCAACTGCTAGAATATTTTGTTCATACTACGTGTGTTAGCATCCATTTTTGACTACAGCAATAAGCAAGATAACTTTCTTCTGCTAGTAATGTTAAACCTTTCCTTGGTGTACAAGTAGTTTTCTCCCTCAAAAAAAACCACCAAACCTAGATCTTCATTACAGTCACCTTTAAGTCTTTCCAAATGACAAACAGGTTCTTAGTAATATGAATATCTATAGAGAAATTCAGCTACTTTAATGGTCATTTCCAAGGACTTTATTCTGAACATCAAAAATCCAGCATGGACTCTTGAGGTTCCTCACCACTCATGCCTCATTTCTGGAGATCCTCCTTTCCATGACGGGGGTGGATGAGATGATGACTTTGGTGCCTCTTGCACTCCTTCCTTTCAGAGGAATGTCTTTAATACAAGAAGGAACCAACACCCTTTTATTCTAAGTGTATTCACACTACCTTGTAATTATTCAGTGCTGAATAATTAGCTCTGTCTTGTTTTGAGTATCCCAGAATAAATGCCTTCTATATCTTCACTTGGTTCAAGAGTTCACACTAGCTTATTATCTACTTCTATCAAATTTTGGAGAAACAGCTGTTCAAACTTGACCCACGTGGTATGAAGTGAAGCTAATACACACTTAAGTACATCGATACATCAATTTTAAAGTCTGTATCTGCATCAACAGCAAATAGCTATTAGTTTAACTACATCTTTAAAGTTACAGCTTTGGATTACAGAACAAAAATTACATGGGTCTTTCCATCATTCAAGAGCTACCCAGAGCTGTTTATTAGTTACCAAAACAGAAAGTCTCTTATAACCTCAAAATAAATTTGACACAGCTATCTAAGCATGTCTTAAGTCTTCCTTCCTATCTACATTTTGTCTGTTATGTACAGACCATTTCCTTGCTTACTACAGTTTACTACATGAAAGCAGGTAACAGTTGTGAAAAGAAAGCAACCTCTTTCAAGGACTGCTCTATTACTTCAATGAAAAAAACAAAGCCAAACCAATAGTCATTTCTTTGCAATGGATGACTTCTAATTTTTCTGAAAAAAAAAAATAAATGGTTTGTGTGAGTAACATGCTTAAATAGCAGAACGTATAGCTGTCGATGACGCTTCTCTTCCACCGCCCTACCTCCACAGGTCTAAAAGGCAGATGACTAATCAAGGTGATCAGATGTAGTGAGAAAGTGCTAAAAGCACAGAAGAGGAGATGTAATTGATATATTTGAGTTACAGAAAAAAAAAGGAGAAATATAAACAGCTTCACTAAGTGTGCAACTGCAAGACATTTTAGCCTGTTTTATGTCATCAGAAATCTCGCTTACAGAACACTAGCTTTTACAATAAAAGACCAGGTTAACCGTTAAGTAAAATGTCTGCCCAAGAACATTTAGAGACTCAGAGCAGTCTGACATCTAATTGCATGGATTTGAGCCTCCAGTTATCAAATCTTTTATCTGTATCCCAAGTATACTAAAGGCACGGCGACTTATAGTAGGCAGCCTAAATCCTTGAGATGAACTTTTCTTCCGCAAAATAGCACACAATATATTGTGATATCCAAGCAAAAAAAATGCTGCCAACACATATGGCATATTTGCTACTAACAAAGTAAGCATTTAAGAAAGGTATTCCAGCAGCCAGGAATTTTATTTACCAAGAATTCAGGGTTTTTTTTTTTATATACAAAAGTTTTTCTTTTTACATAGGAAAACAAGACACAAGGGATGCAAGAGTTTGTAAAGATTTCAGGAGGCTGCAAAATATGTCCATGTAAAAACCATTCCCAGAAGCCAACATTCAAAATAAGATGAAGACTGAAAACACCATTTTTGAGGCAGCTCGCATCCTGACATTAACATCTGCATGACAGGTTTCTACAGAAAAAGCTGTTACAGGGACTTCAGTCCCTGAATTGTCAGTCTCAGTTGAAGAACTTAAATATAAAAAAGGGGAGCGAGAATCTCCTGTTTTCCACATACTGACTAATCCAGATGTGTAACAACTTCTCCCTTCACTGGAGTCTCATCCGTTTTTCAGGTGGTCCTTTAGCACCAGCACTCTGCTGAGCATTCTTTGCAGTCTCTTTTTCCTCTGGCTTGACAGCTTCAGGGACTGGTTCTGGTTCCTTCTTGATTTGATCCACTTTAAAAGTAACAGCAAAAGAAAATTAAACCTCCAATATTTATCTCTAAAATACTCTTCAGAGTACTTAGAAAATATTGTTGATGTCAAAGTGACAAAATTGATTTCAAAGGTAGAAGAATAACCAGGGGCTAAATTCATACCTATACAGGTAAAAAAGTGGCATAGGTTGAAGACATACAGTTGATGCTCTTCCTGTTTTGAGGTTGCTTATGGTCAACTCAAAGCCTTTACAGGCTTCCCTGAGCTTGTAGCACCATGAAAAAAAAAAATCACTAAGATGATGGACTGACTAAAGTGTTCCCTCATTCACCCTTTTACCCTCCTCCTACTTTCAAAGATCATTTCCTGCATTTGGACTTCCAGGCAATAGAGTTTTACAGATAGAAAGGGCAAGGGTACAATACATGTTTTTTCAATTTCAGTCTGGCTGTCACAGAGAACTCTTACCTAGTACTTTGCACAATGAGGCAATGCCAGAATTCCTAACCACCTCAGTAGAAGCAGCAAGAAGCTTATATGGCAACTGGAAGACACTGCTATATAGAGCCTGTTTTTTAAGTCTTGTGAGAATATTAGAGTTTTACCTGGGATAGGCTTTTCTCCAGGCTTTTGCTGTAGGGCAGGAAGAAAAAAAACAAACAACAACACATCAGTGGAACCGAAGTCATATTCTTAACCTCTCCTATTATTCACTTAGGAATATAAACCAAGCAATGCACCCTTATACGTAAGAGTTGAGGGTAGAAGGGATCACTAAATACCCTTCAAACAAAAATCCAATTAACATTTCATAACATCCAGTTTTTCCTCTGACAACTGAAAAGCACTAAAGCAAAAAATACAGAGTTAGCCAGTCTTTCACACATTTGAGAAGCAAACAATTTTGTGAGATGCTGCAAGTATAATTTCCTTTTCTCCCAAGCAGAAGACCTGGTGGAACAAATGGCAACTAGAAACGATTAGTGGTGATCACAACAACTTCACAGAATGCCAAGAATTTCCACGTGAATTAATGAGCCTCCAGAACAATGGAGTAACTAAAACAAAACAGCTGTGGTGGCTGGATTGAGCTCACAAACCAGGAAATTGAAAGCAGCACCAAAATCTGATAACTGACAAGAACAGACCCTCTGTAATTAGATAAGGAATTTGCATAATAAAATTCACCCTCATAGTTTTACTATGGTCTTAATGACTCCTGCAATTACAAAGGGGAATCCTATACTCCAATCAGAGCCTTCAATTTCAAATTTATTATCTAATCCCTGTTACCATTGCAGAAAGCACACAAAATTCCCATTCCGTTACAGCTGTTCAAGTACTTATGACTGCCTCAAGTTCTAAGTTACAGTAATACTATGGTTTGTAAGTGTCATACCTGAACAAATCTGGGTGGAAACTTTTGTCTTAGGTCTAAAAGCAAAGCATCTACCCGTTGCCTTTGGAAAATAGAACTTGGTTCTTCTTTCTTCTTGGCTTTTGGTTTAGCTTTCTCTGCAAGTCACAGAAATGTAAGAGAAAGCTGTATTAAAAGTTATATTCTCTTGGCAGCTCTTTGTTGTATGACAAGCTGGTATTTGTCTCTCCTCTAAACTTCACCTACATTTTCCCTTTAACATCAGTTCTGAGGTTTTTTGTGGAAGACAGATTAAGGAAAATTCTTCCCTCCTGAAAAACTGGTGTGGCTTCTGAAAATGTACTTTGGTCTCCAGTGGGTTGCAGAGTTGCCCGCTTTGCTGACACACAGCTCCCCATTTTCATCTCCCACCCATGCCTCAATGTTCATCTCCATTAACACAGAAGAGCAAGATTCCTTTCACCTGACAAGGAGCACTAACTTACTCTTCAGCCAGGCAAGACACTTAACTTCATCTCTACACTATCAATGTCCATTGTCTCAAACTTTCCCCTACGTTATCTTCCCTCTCCCAAAGTATGCAGGAGCAACTAGGAATCATACCCCGTTCTTCTTGATCTTTGAAATGCCACCAGTAGCCCTTGGATGGGTGATAGCGACAGTAGGACATAGCTTCTTCAAAAGCAGACTGAATTCCATGCACTGCAGTAAGCTTTCAGAACAAGAACATAAGGCAGTGTTCAGAAATTAAGGAGAAAGTACAGTATGAATTTTTGAGAGCAGGTATTTTAAAATTAGTATTCTACATTCATTTTTGTTCTGGGAAGGGAACTTGGGACAACTAGTTTTGGACCAAGAAACTAATCTCTGTAACAGGCTCTTAGAAAGCCCTTTCTGAAGTGCTCTTCTAAACTGACAGAGCAAAATTTACAAAAGCAGTAGTTTACTAGAGCAGAAGAAATCAAAACAAACCTCAGTATCCAATTTAAAAAGAAGTATCGCATCAGCATAAAAACATAAGCCTCATTTAAAGAGAAATACTACATTACATTAACATTCATGTAATTTTTCTTTTGATTGTTTGAACCTCATGCTGTTCCACTAATTGTGTGGTGTCAGTTATTCTGATCCTTCATCCTTGAACAATAGATGGTACTTTTTGGACCATATTGCATTCTCCCAGGATCTTTCATTTCTACGTGGGATGCACACCACCTTAACCAGTGGGGTTTGTTTTCAGTTACTGTATACTACACAAGATCTTTCCTCAAAACAGTGAAAGAGGGATTTAAACAGCCTGGGGAACAACCAAAAGTAAAAGCAGATACAAACTGGTATACAACAAATGCACAGAACACTTACAACTCTGGAGTTAATGACAGATCCTAAGTCAGGTGCCTGATAAATCACTCCAGCAATAATATAGTAGTCAGCCAATGGAATAACTGGGGAGGAAAAAAAAAAAAAAAAAAAAGGCAGGATCAACTTAAAACTCTGGCTGAAGACTGTGTATTTGTTGCTGAATTTCAATAGTAACAGCAGAAATTGCAATATTAATCTCATCACCAAATTTGTCTTTTTAACTTTTTCCTTCAAGGTGCTTTATTTGCACCTTAGCCACAGACTGATGGGGGGGGGGGGGGGGAGAACAAGGTCTGCTTTACAGATAGAAAAGCATCAGCTTTAAGTACTGTCCTACTGCAAACAAATAGTTGACCTTAGAAGAGTTGGGGTTTTCAGAGCTACATAACAGGAGTCAAATGAACTGCACTGGAAGTAGTTCCACTTGCTAACAATAGAAACCCGTAACAACATAAGATCTCATTCTCCTGGCCAAGCTTTCTTCAAATTGTACAGTCCTCTTAACTAGATTTCCCAGGCCCAGTGGCAGCTAAGCACACACAGAGCATGCCTTTCTAAATTAATAACATTCTGCCAAAAAAAGACTACCTTCCAAAGGCATTTGCTAAGTCAGATTTGGAACCTCTACTGACCGATCAAAATTCTTGTTCCTCTGCACTGCAGCTCTCATGAACATCACAACTGCCTCCATAATACTCTGCCAAATGTTCTTCAATTGAGAAACGATAGCAATGCTATCAGCTTCACATTCCTAAGAATCTTACCTGCACACACATTTGCTCCAGTTTCTCCATCTGTATTAACCTATTCTGTCTGAACCTTTTTACTAACAGGATCCAACTCATACAGTACTTGAAATTTATGGAGCTTGGATACCTGCCTAAATTAACAGACCAAGACAGCTGGGTGCATATTACAGCTAGTACCCACTTCTCAAAAGAAAGAGGATTCTCAACATTTCCTTAGAAGTGGAGCAAGACACAGAACAGCAGCTCTACTGTCTCACTGCTCTGTACCAAGCAGCCTACTTTTCTAGACAGGTAACTCTCCCTAATCAATGACGTAAACATTTTTCCAAAATCATTTCAAATAGGCAAAAACTTGGCTTACAGAATTTAAAATATAAATACACTTTTTAAAAACACACACAGAAGTTGTAAGACAGGCCTGCCACAGCTCTGCCCGAGTACTCAACACTGCTTGTGAACTCGTCAACTTTTCCATCACCATTCTCGTGTCTCAAATACACTAATATTTGTACTATGATAAAATGAAACACATGGGTAACATATGAGCTAGGAAACTACGCAACTCAATCAAGGTACCTAACACAAATTGTGCAGTCACAATGGGAAAAATGTTACCAAACAAGTCCTGGTTCAGTTCCACTAAATACACACTTGCATTACAGAAAAAGTCTGAACATACATACCTATTGTGGAAACCTCAACTCTACTCTTGATCTAAAAAGTGTCAAAACAGGAAATTAAGGGCTGCATGATATTTTTATACTCACCTTTTGAAAACTAGATTCAAAACCTTTAATAAAGAAACAACTTGAAAAATCTATTAAAGAAGGAATCATGCATGTTCTTTTTCACTACAGAACTGCAATATAAAGAGACCATTACCTGATACAAGCAAATAAGAAGCATTGCTAGAAAAGGCAAAGTTCTATACAAGACTAAAATGCATATGCAGTGCCTAAGTCACTTAAAAAAAAAAAGTTAAGAAATAACTAGCATTAACCCTGCCTTTCTTTTCTGTAGAGCTTACTCTGAAACAACCTGAATTATTTTACATATACATGCAGTAAACACAGAAGACATTCCAATAACTACTGAATTGTGGTTACTTTTTAAATTAATCACACACACAAACAAATTTAATGTTAAAAAGGAATAATGAAGCCAGTTGCATTCAAATGGGGAAAAAAAAAAGCTAAGGTATCTCATTTAAAACTTGGAAAGGTCATCAGTGACGCTGTAAGGAGTGGTGCTGTTGTCACAAGATTCCCTCACGATTCCCAAATACTCAGTTCTCAGAGGAATAACCAGAACAACAAGCATTTGCCTTATCTCACAGTTATTTTTCACACGGGTCATCATCTTCTACTGACAAGATCCTACTCAGCAGTACAACCAATCCACAGTTGAAGGTGGAAATCGTGCAGGATAAGAGAGTGACATGACGCAAACAGAAGCATGAAGGATACCTCTCCCTAATCAATGGAAATCACGGTTCTCCAAAATTAATAAATAAATCACATACTAACCACTTCAGATGATTAGTTCTAATTAAACTAAGCCCATCTGCCCCAACAAGGTTAGTCTTATATTCAAATAATTAAAATTAAAACTCTTGCATAGCCTAACAGATAAATATAACATGACATGAATCCTATTATCAGATTCCCGTGACAAAATATCCCTACCATAGGGCAGCACTTTCTCATTGCACTCTTCACATTTCACCACAAGATGGCAATCCCTGCTATTAGCACACTAGAGGTCACTCTGCTAGACAAAGTATTTCCACTCCACCACAACCCTTTTATTTAGACTTAAAATAAATGTAGAGAAGGGGAACCAGAAGTGCTTAAACACAAATTATGAGCAGATAAAAGTGACTAACTGATCGGCCTTCTCAACAGTGACAAGAACTGAGTGACTTTACCTTGTGTTGGAGATTGCCTTTGCTGCTTTCGGATAATGAAGAGAATGGGCTCCTGAGCGTGAAGAAGGATGTACTCCACTCCAACCATCTGGCTGAAAAAGAAGCAACCGGAATAAGTATCTTCCTCAAAGTGAAATGTGTAGGATGTGAAGAGCTACCAAAGGGTGTGGTGGTAAAGGGATGAAGTTCTGATGCTTTGGAAGCTCTTCAATATAACACACAGTAAATAAAGGCACAGAATTTCCTGAGGTAACTATCAAAACCTAGCTGCATATACAAACAGAGTTACAACAAGCTGACACAACATCTAAGTAGAACATGTTAGCAAACAAATAAATAACAAGAAAGATAGCAGTCTATCATCACAGATGTGTCACTTACGCACAGAAACAAAGGACCAGTGTATGACATGACCATCTGTGTGTCTGATGTGAAAGCCCCTCAGCAACCACATCTGAGCACAAGTGACTTTACCAATGAACTTTAAGCTCAGCTTGCACACTCCCTATCATATTGTGGAGTCTTTAAATAGTTCTCAAACATCTCACTTGTGCTCAGTGTAGCAGATGGGGAACTGCAAAGAAAGTCAACTTGCGCATGCTTGCAATCTCATTACACAACCATCTGTGTTCAGTTTATTTACAACACTCACTACTTTTATTACCTATACTAAAAAGTCAGCTCTTTGGAGGAATTATGTACTAATTATGGCACATAGCCAGCAGGATATGGAAACATGAACTAATTATGAACTCAAAGTATCCCCTAACATAAACCCTATTCACCACAGAAAAACATTTAACTACATTACCATTACTTGGGTTCTGTTGAGCTGGGAGGATGACAGCAGACAGCTTTTCTAATTGAGAGAAATATCTAAAAGGGGATTTACTGGAATCTCAGAACACACATAGAATCCTTCATGCTTAACACTTCCTTGAAACGGCGTAAAAGGAAGCAGAAGACATCCAAACACAAGAAAAGCTGAGCTCCCTAGCAAGCAGTGGGACTAAAAAGCACGGAACAGAAGGAGGTTTCCAGCATGCTTCCGTTTAACCAGCAAAGACTCTGGATGGAGGGACAAAGGACACTGCACAGGAAGCAGTTCCAAATTACAACTTACTTCAAATGGTCCAAGGTCATCCGCTGCATTTTGACAACTTCATTGTTACATGTTCGGTCATAGAATGGGTTACTTCGCTCTGAGAAATAGTCCAACACACTCCCATTGTTTAATATTGGAATCCAGGAGCTGTCAACCCAGGAAATTCCCAAGAGATTATCTGGGAAGAGAAATTGACACTGAGTACCAAAGCAGCCAGAAACACTACAAATACCTCCAGGAGTAAATTGCCACCAGTTAATGATTATAGCAGGGGAAGGAGGTGGAACATAGCCTCACACAAACCAGTTCTAATTAAAAATGTGTTTCACAGAGTTCAAATAATAATTGATATCCTTTAACCTGCTACAGTTCTGTTGTAGGTACACAATAGAAATATAGCTCTTTTTTATTAGTGCACTTTTCTTTCCTTGGCCAGTATCTGTTGGTATATCTTTATGTCTGAAGAATGTGACCAGGGTCTGTGTGCACATGTGTGAGCGCTGTGTTGGTGGGAGTTAATTAGCTCTGATACCATATATGGTATCATAGTACATCTACTCAGTAGTATTATACACAGTCTATTTTGTGAACCACAGCATTAGCTGACTAGAAAGACTATCCAAAGCATGGCTCCTTCTGAAAGTTAGGTCTCTGGTCAGTAAGTTGAATTTATACTAAACTAAGTTAGAATTAGTTGGGGGGTGGGGGTGGAGGGGAGTGATACACCCCACACTATAACTGTTTTAAATACGATCAGGCTCAGATTATTTCTTACAAAAATAGTTTCCAAGCTTTAACTATGATGCTGAAAAATAGGTAAAACACTACAGAGATCTATTAACTAAACCAAGAGTTTTCTTTTGCTAAATGAGTAAACTACTGAGTGAAACAAAATAGTAGCACTGGTAACATTTCTAAGATCACAGAATCACAGAATGGTCAGGGTTGGAAGGGACCTCTGGAGATCATCTAGTCCAACCCCCCTGCCAGAGCAGGGTCACCTACAGCACGTTGCACAGGACAGCGTCCAGGCGGGTTTTGAATGTCTCCAGAGTGGGAGACTCCACCACCTCTCTGGGCAGCAGATATGATATCACAGCAACTGATACTGTTATGTTTCAAATATTATAATTTTTTATGTGGGTGAAATCTATAATAAACAACAACAAAAAAAAAAACAAAATGGCAGAAACAAAGATGCTATCTTTGGGCAGTAGTCTTCAGCAAGAGACTATTCCTGACTCCACAATTAGTCTGCCAAATTGCTTGCAGCAAGTTATTTATTCCACAACTTGGTGGATATTACAGAAATCTAACTACAGAGTATTAACAATTATACAAAACCCAAGTTTTTAAAATGAAACATACTCTATAACCTGCAAATCATTATATGCCAGTTAAGTTCCCACAGATTTGGGGACATTTGAATTAAAAATCCCTGGATTTTATTATCACACTGCAGCAAAATGATGTTCCTCAAGCAGACCATAGAAATGGGTGTCAAGAATTGATTTCACAGTCAACAAATCTACTAACGTTGAAGATGCATGAGTCACCTTGAAAAGCACTCTGAAATTCACCCATTTTAAATCATAGCAGCAGCAGCAAATAGAATTTCCAAGACACAAGAAAGCACAAAACAAAGGCATGCACCTGCATTGTTTATAATCAAAAACCAAAAGTGACAGGAAGTCATTGAAGAATGAATGAAGAACTAAAATTCTGTTCTCACAAGAACCATTCCCTTACATTCATGCATTATATACATACCCAGAACTGTCACTCATCATACCACTGTGAATATTTTACTTCTGTGACAACTCTGCATGCTCAAGGATGACTGGATCAGTTCCAAAAATGTTAGCTCATGTAGTATTAGCTGCTTCTCTGAGGAACAGCTAATAAAGTAACAGTAGCTGCCTAGCAAACCAGGAAAAATGCAGCATAAATAGTCACACATAAATCCTTTTGCCTCATTCATCTCAGAATTGCCAGCCTGACTCCTTCATAAAACCAGGGGGGGATGGAGGGGAGGGGGAAGTCTAGAAGTAGTATTTCACATACACTATTCTCTCTCCTCACTATAAAAAAAGAAACTTCAGAAACACAGTGCTTAAGATCCATTATTAAGCGCTTAAGTTGTGGCAGCACCAATTATCCTAAATGCCTTTCAAAACCAGAAGACAAGCTTTCCTTCCCAACAAAACCAAAATCTTAAGTGCTTGCATTCTTGCCATACTAGATTCTCATATTACATTTCAAATACAAACTTTTCTTGCTTGTATGATTAATAACTACATTTCTCAATAAGAATGTTAGGCAAGCTTCACATGTATATATATAACTATAATACTGTATATAGACAGATAAATGTATCTTAAAATGGACTGTAAAGCTGGGCTGTAAGGGTCGGTTTTCCATAGCTGCTTAGTTCCAGTGTTTATAATTGACTTTATAACTAGGGAGATTGTTCTCTTAAACAATTTTTTGGAAAAGGGGAAGGATTAACAAAACCAACCATGAACCTGACATGCCTGTTATTCCCACTAAGAAAGGAGTACTTCTGTTTATTTTGTGTATGAGAAACAAAGGACCATGTTCCTGCTTCCCTGTTCCTTTCAAAACTAGGACATCTTGTTCAAAGCGTTTTTTTGTGGAATTTGCAGCACAGATGCAAATGTAAAGTGCTTGTGACAATACTGCCAGCCTGCTATGAATGCTAAGACAACTTGGCTGGTTAAGCCAGCAAACCACAGCAAAAAATAAGGAGAGCAATTCACACAACGTGCTGTACCTGGCCTTGCCAGCTGGACAGCCCAACACCAGGCTTTGACAAACCAAGAGGAACAGTAAAATAGTTTGATAGCTTAAAAATAGAAGTGTGCTTCAAACTCAACTTAGTATATTGACCCATAGCACTCCTGCCGTTAATTGTCCACATAGCTCCTTGCTGCAATCTGAAACAAGGCAGTCAGAAAAGCAAACAGGACTGCAGACATCATTAAGTAAGACTTTGAAGAAAAAAGGGGAAAAATCTCTGTGGCATTATCAAAATTGATCCCTCATGAGTTTTCCCTAAATACCTGATCTTGGTCAATCTCTGAGACTCCACCACACAGGCTTTCAGCATGATTCCATTCAGACACTTTTACAGAGAAAAATAATTTGCTTTCTCATGCCATCTCACCCCCTCTTCCTCTCTCAGAGTTTAAACTCTACACAGTAATTTAACCTGTATTTTGTTTACAATGTAAACCTTCTTTAATACTTCATTCAAATGTCACCCCTTCCTCTTCAAAACCTTCTCTCTTTATATTCCTGTTTCTGAATTCTCACTCAAGCCTTTCGTGTTCTCAGTCACTCCAGTTTTCTTTCTGGCTTTTTTAACACCTGGCCTGCTTCATCACACCCACCCAAAGCACTGCCGAGATTGTCAGCCTAACTTACTGCTTTGGTCTCACCTAAGTCCCACACGTGCCAGTGCTTTCCACCTTCCTCCACAGTTCACAGCAAAAATTCTCTTTAAGCTGACTCTTTAAGCTCTTTAACATAAGCTCTTCCCTTATGTTACCATCTCACTCCAGGACCTCCTTACTCCACCTAAAAAGGCAGAAGCATACCAGCAGGGAGACTTGTTTTTCCCAGGCAGCCCTGAACACACCCTCCTGGCCCACCTCACGTCCAAGAAAACTGCTTTTTGGACAGCTTTTCCTCCCAGTTCCTTCTCATGACATTAACAACGCTAATGAACTCTCTTGAGCAGAATTTTCAGAGACACACAAACAAACTCAGTAACTCCGTTGCCCCTGCGGACCACTAATAAAGGAAGCAGCTCTGTTACCCTCCCACCTTTGGCCACATCTCACCGCCCAGTAACCTGGACGCTCCTCGGCGCGAACGCTATTAGCACCTCAACCTCCAGCCAGCCAGCCAGG